CCACGCCCGGCCCCCTGCTGTTAGTACTTTCTAATGTTTCTCCTCACCTGGTGCAGCCTTAGGTCATGGATACAATTGCCCTGATGACCAGGGATAATTGTTGCTTCTGCTGAGTTCTCTTTGACTTTGCATCTTCCTACTAAGCTTACAGCTTATCTACCTCTATTGGCATCACACTTGGTCATCAGCCTTCATTAATTGTTAGCTAATTACTCTATTGCTTTCAACAATACCCTGAGACATTAATTGTTTTACATTCTGATTCAATTAAAGTCAGGACCCTTTGCAGGGGCAAAGTGTTGCTAGTCTTTGAGGCTTCCCCCAACTCTCAGAGGGCTCTTCTTAGTGGTCTCTTTCTCTGTTCTGTTAAACATATAGCTGGTTTATTATTTTACTTGCTGCTACTAACATTATGGAACTACCAGCCTCCTCTAAATTGCTTACCTTAAAAAAAACTCCATTGTTTCCCACACAGTTCTTAGGCATGAGCTCCCCATCTCTGTTCCAAATAAAGCAAGTCCCCTTGGGCAACATTCCATGGCCCTCTGATTTACAGCCTGAATTGGTTTGGCTCTGTGTCCCCACCCAAGTCTCATCTCAAATTGTAATTCCAATGTGTCAAAGGAGACACCTGGTGGAAGGTAATTGGATCATGGGGGCAGTTTACCCAATGCTGTTCTCATGATAGTGAGGGAGTTCTCACGAGATCTGATGGTTTTTAAAGTGGCAGTTTCCCCTGCACGTGCTCTCTCTCCTGCTACCTTGTGAAAATGTGCTTTACTTCCCCTTCACTTTCCACCATGATTGTAAGTTTCCTGAGGCCTCCCTAGCCATGCAGAACTATGAGTCAATCAAATCTTCTTTTCTTTATAAAATTATCCAGTCTCGGGTAGTTTTTTATAGCAGTGTGAAAACAGACAAATACACAGCCTCGCTCCCTGGGCAAAACTTCTGCACTGCTGCCCTGGAACTGAGGTGGGACAGTGGACAACTTTTCCCGTAGTGACATTGCTGCTCTACAAGTGGGTTGCTGGGTGGGGATCATAATCTCTGGTCTTCTCAGCATGTCCCTCACAGCTGTAGTACTTATGTTTTAATGCCTTCATTCTTGCTACTTCATAATATTTATCTTAGGTATTCTCAAATTACCATCTGGACAGGAGTATGCATTGATGGTTCTGCCCACATCTTTGGGTCTCTCCACAGTTGTTTGTTTATGCTAAACAGACAGGAGCTATTCACTGAACACCTGACAATTTGTTATTGCTTTCTGAAAACAAGTTAATAAAAATTAAATTATTGGCTTGTTTTATAGTGTACTGAAACAGTGGAAGGTGCAAACCAATTACCTGGAGATCTTATTAAAATGCAGATTCTGAGTGGGTAGGTCTAGGGTAGCCTGGGAGTCTGCAGCTCCCAGGTGTTTCTAGTGCCACAGATTGTGCTTTGTGAAGCAAGGAATTAAAAGACAATACCATATTGGGAAGATTCAACATAATAAAAATGTTAGTTCTCTTTAAGTTGATCTGTGAAATATGATATTCCAATTAAAATACCAAGGAAGGCCGGGCGCGGTGGCTCAAGCCTGTAATCCCAGCACTTTGGGAGGCCAAGACGGGCGGATCACGAGGTCAGGAGATCAAGACCATCCTGGCTAACACGGTGAAACCCCGTCTCTACTAAAAAATACAAAAAACTAGCCGGGCAAGGTGGCGGGCGTCTGTAGTCCCAGCTACTCGGGAGGCTGAGACAGGAGAATGGCGTAAACCCGGGAGGCGGAGCTTGCAGTGAGCTGAGATCCAGCCACTGCACTCCAGCCTGGGCTACAGAGCGAGACTCCGTCTCAAAAAAATAAAATAAAATAAAAAATTAAAATAAAATGAAATACCAAGGAAGGTTTTTTTGTTTGTTTGTTGTTAAGAATCTAAATCAACTGACTCAAAAATTCCTTTGGGGGGAAAAAAGAGTATCCCCAAATTCCAAATGAATAAAGGACAGGACTAGCCTTATCAGATAATGAAATATGTTATAAAGTTACAATATTTAAAACAAGCTCAGGAATAGGCTGGAAGATCAAAGAAAAATGTATAAAGTCCTATAATGAACCCTGATACAGATCATATAAGTATATAAATATTTGATAAAACTTTGATGTTGATAACTTTATGATAAAAGTGGCATGGCATTAATCAACAGACAGCCAGATTATTGAATAAATGACATGGGGTAACTGGGGTAACTGGGCAACCATTAAGGAAAAAATTAAGTTGGAACTATGTCTTACACTGAAGTTAATTCAGGTATATCAGATATTTAAATGTAAGTAATAAAACCATTAAAATCCTAAAATAAATACTGGGAAAATTTTTAATCTTGGAATGAAGAGGCCTTTCAAAATATAAAACCTAGAAACTATGACATCAGTAAAGTGAGTTATATAAAAATGAAAGTTTTTCGCATAGCAAAAATGATCATAAGCAAAGTCAAAAGGTAAATAACTGGAAAAATGTTGTATCTAAAATCACAAGGAGCTAATAACTCCAAACAAATAACTTTTACAGATCAACAAGAAAAAACTAATAACTAATAGAAAAAATGTGCAAAAGTTTTCAAGAGTTTACTGAAAAGCTAAAAAACTAAAACGTGAAAAATGTTCTACCTCACTCATAATACAAAGAATACAAAATAAAGCTATGATGGGATATTATTTTCCTTCTCTTAGATTGACAAAGATCGAAGAGTTGATAAAACTGTAGTGAGAGAATGAGGGAAAACCGGCAGTCTCAAACATTACTGCGGAAGTGTAATTGTTTTGATTATTATAAAGGGGAATTTAGCACTGTTTACCAAACATTAACATGCACATGTGCTTAAGGCAGGGTTTTTCACCCTAAACACATTATTACTGACATTTGGGGCTGGATAATTCTTTCATGTGGCGGCAGGGCAGGGGGAGGTCTTGTGTATTGTAGGGTTTTTAGTAGCATCGCTGGCCTCTACCTACTAGATGCCAGCAGCACCCCTCTAATTCCCACAAAAATGTCTTTAGGCATTGCCAAATGTCCCCTGGGGGCAAAATTGCCTCTGGTTGAGAACCACTGCCCTAGAACAAGCAATTTCACTTTTAGTAGTTTATCCTACTGATTCACTTGCATAATGACAATGTGATGTATACCCAGATGGTTAGTAATTGCAGCATTGTTGATTGTAATAGCAAGAGATTAAACAGTTAAGTGACTGTGGGATAATTGTTAAATTATGGTACATCCATGTGGAAAATTATATAGCTGTCAAAAAGAATGAGTAAATTCTTCGTGTGCTGATACAGAAAGATCTTCAAGATTTATTGAGTGAAAACATCTGGATGAATAAAAGTGAATAGAGTATGCTACTATTTAGGTCAAAAAAGGGAAACATGTTTGTATAAGCCTAGATTTCTGGAAGGATGCACAAAACCTAAAAACAGTGTATGCTTCTAGGCAGGAGACCCTCCTGATGGGGTGACAGGAGTGGGATGGGAGCTCATCACAGTGTACCATTTGAACTGAATGTATAGCCTAAACAAAAGAATTATTAAAATAAAAGTTAAAAGGATAATGTTAATTTTTGGGGGGGAGACAGTTTCGCTCTATTGCTCAGGCTGGAGTGCAGCATCATGATCTCGGCTCACTGCAACCTCCGCCTCCTGGGTTCAAGCGATTCTCCTGCCTCAGCCTCCTAAATAGCTGGGATTACAGGCCTAAGCCACCATGCCTAACTCAGTTTTGTATTTTTAGTGGAGATGGGGTTTCACCCTCTTGGCCAGGCTGGTCTCAAACTCCTGACCTCAAGTGATCCGCCCGCTTTAGCCTTCCAAAGTGCTGGGATTACAGGGGTGAGCCACTGTCCCCAGCTGATGTTAATTTTTTAAAAATGCATTTTATTAAAAGGGCTAATGAATTTTACAGTATGATAATTTTTAAAATAAATATTTAAAAGACAAGGATTACTCACAAAATTGAATTACCATAGGTTCTAGCCATTCTGCATCTGGGAATGTACCCAGAAGAATTGAGAAGGGAATTGAACAGAGTTTTATACACCCATGTTGACAGCACCATTCTTCACAATAGCCAAGAAGTGGAAGCAACTCAAGTGTCTTATCGATGGATGACTGGATAAACAAAATAAATAAAATGTGGTATATCCATACAACGGAAAATCATTCCACCTTAGAAAGGAAGGATATTTTGACGCATACTACCATGTGTAGGAAACTTAAGGACGTTATGCTAAGTGAAATAAGCCAGTCACAAAAGGACAAATACTGTATGATTCCACTTATATGAGGTACCCAGAATAGTCAAATTCATAGAGGCAGAAAGTGGAATGGTGGGGGCCAGGGGCTGGGAGACGAGGGAGGGAGGAGCGATTGTATAACGGGTACAGAATTTCAGTTGTACAAGACAAAGAGTTCTGGAGATGGACGGTGGTGATGGTTGCACAAGAATGTGAATGTACTTAACGCCACAGAACTGTATAGTTAAAAATGGTGAAGATGATAAATTTTATGTTTTTTATATATACCTTATAATTTAAAAAGACATGGAAGTGAATTGAGTCTGATTGAAGTACACTTAAATACACAATTTTTCACACACAGAAAAACCCTAAGAAGTCAAAGTAAGTACAACACATTCCTTAATAAAGGAGAGGAAGAGGAAGGAGGGAAGGAAAGGAAAGGGGAAGAGAGACAAAGGAAAGGAAAGGAAAAGAAAAGGGAAAGGAATGAAAGAAACAAGACTATTTAGACCGCACTAGGTGTTTCTGAACTGACTTAAAATATGTTTTGCAAAAAAATCAGAGTTTTGTGATTCCCACCCCCTCCCCAACCTCTTTGAAAATGTAAACATCATTTTTGGAACTCTATTAGAACCATGGGAAAAGATGTCAGGGCCAGTGAGTTCTCAAAGCAAGAGCTTCTGGGGTTCCCTGGGTGTAACTGGTCCTTCCCAACCCAGGACCGGGCCAAAGCCGAGGCAGTGAACAAGCGGCTCCGGAAGCAGCTGGCTGAGTTCCGGGCACCACAGGTGATGACTTACGTCCGGGAGAAGATCTTAAATGGGGACTTGGAGAAGAGCATCAAGATGTGGGAAAGGAAAGTGGAGATAGCAGAGGTGAGCCACGGGGAGCCCCGAGATGGGCAGTCTTTTATGTTTTCAATGTTTTCATTTAGGATTTTGTTCTTTGGGCTAAGAATACAGATGTTTGGATATGTAATTTCTGGGAGAAACCTCAGCAGTTGCTTTAACTATTAAACCAAGATGAAGGATGATTTTTTTTTAAGTTCCCCCTTTTGCATTGTTAGGGGCAGGGTCTTTTCCATTTTCAGGGAGAAACTCTGTAGTAATAGTGTGTTTTTAGTTGCCTGTTTTCTTAATGAATTCTAGAAGTTTCTGAATCCCTCTGCATTGGTAATTTAGTGATTGCTACTTTATACATGGAGAAGTCAGTTTTTTAAAAAATGAGATACTGATAGATTTTTTAATATCACTCAGGACCTCATTCCATGCATGTACACAGTCGCCATGGGTCTTTCTGCTTTTGAACGAATCCCGCAGACTTTGAATATGGTAGTGTGACAGGAAGCACCCTTGCTCCTGTGAGCTGCGGGGGATAAATGGGCAATGGAAACCATTTGCTGGCATCAGAAGAAAGACAAGCACCCAGACTGCCATGGCCACGTTGCAAACTGAGGTCACGCAGGACATCATCAGAGTAGCTTAGAAAGCCAGTCAGGTCACTTGGAAAACTGGGACCTTGGCGTTTTCACATCTAGACCCTGGCTCCCATTTCCTATGTTACTTTCTCCTGCCTCTCCTTTGGCCATTTTGCAGCAGAGAGTAAATTAGGATCCAAACTTGGGCCACTTAGATCTGAAGCTGAGAAATAGCAGAATCGTGGCAGGAGCATGCAACTTCTCATTTCACTGAGCAGAAGAAACATGCTCTATAGAAAAATCCTCTGGGTGGGTGCTACCCCTTGGTGGCCCCCGCACAGCAGTGTGCATGGGGGACACGCTGCCCCACACAGGGTTGCCTGCACCATCACGGGGCTGGATGAGGGCTGCATTCTAAGTAACCACAATCAGTTTTCCCCAAGTGACCTTCTCTCCACTCTCCTTTATAGTTTTCTTTTTCTTTTCTTTTCTTTTTTCTTTCAGATGTCCTTAAAAGGCTACCGTAAGGCTTGGAATAGAATGAAAATAACCAATGAGCAGTTGCAGGCAGATTACCTTGCTGGGAATTAGCCAGAGGCAGGCCACGGCTTACAGACCACAACATGACCTATTAAAGTAATCAGCTCCTTTCTAGTCACCGGCTCCTCTCACTGTTCCCTGTCTGCCTGGTGTTCCCAACCCCCCAGCCAGGCTGAGCATCACCTCCTGGGCCACATCTGCCCATGGGGAGTGTTTTCACAGCCTGGCCCCTGGAACTGTTGCCACTGAAAGAACCACAGGGCGCTCTAATGGTTTGACACGTGTTAGCCAGCATTTAGTTCACAAGCATAATAAAAGTGACCTTCCCACACCCGGGAGAGGGACAGAGGAGGGAGAGCCAGCCCAGTGTGTGCTGTGGGCTTATCCATGGCAGCCCTGGTGTGCAACTATTAAAAACAGACACCAAAACAGCATGGTGAATGCCTGGCACTCAGCATTCTGAGCTTACTCTTCAGTTTGGTGGGGTGGCTCCTAGACTAGATACTGCTGCAAAAGAAAACAAGCATGAAGGAAACCAAGATGATTTCTGCGGGCTGATGCAACCTTTTCTGACCTGCAGAAATCCTACCTTCCCCCACCTCCCCACCATAATAGTCATAGTACAAGGGTTGTACAGATGCCTCAGGAGACCGGCCTGATTCCTTTACACCCTTCTCCCTAACATCTAGATCATCTCTAGAGCTGGTTGCTAGTCGTGAATGCGTGATGGTCCTTCCTTGTGCCTGCAAGTATGATCCAATATGGCCCAGTTCAGAATCAGAATTCTGTGTCATGGCGGCATTTGGTCCATGGTGGGAGAAAGAAATCAACTTTTCCCAGTGGTGGAGTGAGGACAGGGGAGGGCCAGCCCTCTCAGCCTTGGATGTGATCCATTTGCTGTAGTCTTCCACCTTGGTGTACAGAAACAGGCCAGGGCACGTCTCACCACCGAAGTTCAGCACTCCTCTCAGAACCCACAGATCGAACTGCTGTAGCTGGCACATCATTGGGCTTCCTGGGTCCCCCTGTGACAAAAGACAGAAGGCTTTAAGTCTTAGAAAAACTAGTTTTGTTGCAAATCTATCCTTGTGCAATATACTGTTTGCTCTAGAAATGTTTTACGCTGGTTCTCACTGGAAATGGGGCAAATTATAGGATACGATTTCAAATCTAGGCAGCCACTACCACAAATTCCAGCAAGATGACTTTTCCTTTTATTATGCAAATTAGCTGTGGACTTCTACTGATTGCCTATAGCTTCCTGGTTCATGCTTCATTTTCTTGCCCCTTTCCAGTCCTTTGGCCAAACCTTCCCTCTCTTCTGGCTTCTCATTCCTGAAATGTTGGTGTTTGTTTCAGTTCCATCCTGAAATGCTCACATTTTCCCTTCTCTCTGCCTTGCTTCGACCCTTAGTTTAAGCCACTTCCTGCCGCCTGGCAGCTGCTCACCAGCCTGGCTGGCTATACTCTTGGTCTTCCCCACTCCCAAGGGAGCAGTCCTCTGGGACTCGGGAATTCTGCCACATACACTTTACCTAAGGTGAGGGAGTAGAAGCTTGGCATCGTTAGCTAGATATGGGACCCTGGCAAGTGACCAAATCCTCTCTGAGCCAAAGTGGGAACGCAGTTAATGCCTGTAACACGTGCTGAGCACAGCACAGTGCCTGGCACACAGCACACACTCAATAGAATATTAGCTACCATCATCTTGATGTCTCTATAAAGGCCATCATTTTTCTGAAAAGTTGGGGAAAACGGGAAAAGCAACAAGGCAACTACTAGGTATCATTTACCTTACCTGCCCTGACCCCACGCCCCCAGATCTCCTCTCAAAGGAATTCCTGCCCCTCCTGTGGCCCATCTGTGTCCAAGAAGGGGGTGGTCATCCCCAGGCTAGCCAGCCACCTCTGACCTGTGTGGCCTGCCTGGCTGGAAGGCCCAGGCAATGACATGTGGCTCTCGCGGTTTGGACTGAGACACAGAATGGGGCTGCAATTAACAACAGGAAACAATCTGAACAGACTGAACCACGAGCAGCAGAAAGGCAATAGAGCAGCCACCTTAGCCCCTCACCATCTGAGGCCTCGGTGTGTGGTCTGTCTTGGGTATTTCTCTCTCCCTTCCTTCCTTCCTTCCTTCCTTCCTTCCTTCCTTCCTTCCTTCCTTCCTTCCTTCCTTCCTTCCTTCCTCCCTCCCTCCCTCCCTCCCTCCCTTCTTTCCTCTGTCCCTGAGGCTGGAGTACAGTGGTGCAATCTTGGCTCACTGCAGCCTCCACCTCCGGGGTTCAAGCAGTTCTCCCACCTCAGCCTCTCAAGTAGCTCAGCTATGTGCCAACATGCCCAGCTAACATTTTTTTTTTTTTTTTTTAAGATGGAGTCTTGCTCTGTCCCCCATGCTGGAGTGCAATGGCATGATCTCAACTCACTGCAACCTCCTCCTCCTGGGTTCAAGCAATTCTCCTACCTCAGCCTCCCCAGTAGCTGGGATTACAGGCGCCCACCACCATGCCTGGCTAATTTTTATTTTTAGTAGAGATGGGGTTTCACCATGTTGACCAGGCTGGTCTCAAACTCCTGACCTCGTGATCCACCCGCCTCGGCCTCCCAAAGTGTTAGGATTACAGGCATGAGCCACTGTACCCAGCCTAATTTCTGTATTTTTAGTAGAGATGGGGTTTCATGATATTGGCCAGGCTGGTCTTGATCTTCTAACTTCAAGTGATCTGCCCGTCTCAGTCTCTTAAAGTGCTGGGATTAGGCATGAGCCACCATGCCCAGCGGGGTATTCTCTTTCAATAAATCTCCCCTTTTCCAAGGAAGCCACACCAGAACAGAGATAAAGACCCGTGGGAGAAGAAGGGAACAACTCCACGGGCAGGGCAGCAGGGAGGCCGTGCTGAAAAGCTGCCATGATTCCCTGGTGATCTCAGCAGGTCAAGGCCAGACACGTGAGGAAGTCCTTGAGGACTTCATTCTGTGCCTCTCTTTGGATGGAAGGGGGTGCTTTAGTGCAGAACTCTTGACTTTTCAATTGACTGTGAACAGGCCCTTGTGTGCACCTCACTATGTCTGCCTAGGTCATGGGGGCTCCCTGGCTAAGAATGACATGGTTCCCCCCTTCATCAGTCCCATTCACAGTTTAACTGTAGTGGTATAGCCAGAGCAAGAAAAAGAATGTGATTTAGGACGAATAATTGGATGAATGATTGGGAGATGTCCTCAGCTATGGCATGGTTTTGCAGGTCGCTGTTCCACCTGGGCACAGCATATGCACTTTTTCTCTGCCCCATAATCCTGTAGGGACTGCGACTTCTGAAGCACAAGAGGCAGAGGTGAACAGCTCCAGATGCCCCTCTGGAGCTACCCTACTTCATCTCCCAAGGGAGCGGCCACAGCCCAGAGTGGGGTCTTTCAATGTGTGATCTTTTCCCTTGACATTCAGCAAAAGCCCTAACAGTGGTAGAATAAAGGCTGGATGGGTGAGTGCAGAGTGATTCTGCTTTTGTTGGGTTTTGGGGAAACCCATAGGCAGATTCTGAACCTGGTGGTTGATTCTACATGTGGGAATTGTGGCTTTGAAGACCTCTGGACATGAGAACATATTTCCAAAACAGAGGATTCTACGGGGACAGGTCACCATTAAGTGGTGTGCAAGCATAATTCTGTTAAAAAATGAAGGCCTGTTTAGAGGTGTGTCACAGTTAAAAACCAACCTGCACTTTGCAGTTAGATTTTAAAAGATGGTCACTTAGAGTAGAAATAGCTTAGAATATTCCATTGAATCTAAGATACAGTTAGAAATCAACATCTTTGAAATCAGGGTGTGTCATTTTTTTTTTTTTTTGGAGTCGCTCTGTCGCCTAGGCTGGAGTGCAGTGGTGCGATCTCGGCTCACTGCAAGCTCCGCCTCCTGGGTTCA